AGCAGGATCAAGATGCCAAGTACCAGTACAAATACAGAATACAAATCTCTTGCCGATATAGAAGAAAACACATTTTGTCAGCAAACTAAGGAAGATTCATCCGCAATTGTGTGAGCCTGGGCCCCAGAAATCCCCAACAAAAACATGGGATGTTGCCCTGGCATCTGGCGATCTACTCATCGTTTCCGTTTTCCGGTTTCGGGGTCCGTTTCGGGACTTGAGCAAATTGAAGACGTCGGACAAAAAGTGGCGTACTTCCGTTTCAGCGGGGTTCGACCAGGTTCGATTCTTCGGACGTCCTCTTGAGCGAAGAAGAGATCGCGCAGGCCTTTCTTTCCGTTTCCGGGGACGAGGGCTTCCGGCAGCCGTGTGGAAAATTTGCAAAATCCATTTCGAAGCACCTTGAAGCCATGGTTGAAACCACCGTTTGTTGGTATGTCCAGGGGAATCATTCCGGGCTTGGATAGGTGGTGCAGGATTTCGTCCATCCACAGATAGACAACGGTCATGGTGGGCCCAACTACCGTGTATAGCTGGAAGCGCTAGAGAAGGGCAGGCGATGTTGGTGTGCTTGTTTCCGGTTTGCATTGGCCCCCTCAGTCAAAATGGGAGCAAGCGCCTGGAAGAAGGAATTTGGACACGGCTGAACCCCTGATTTGCTTTGTGTGTCTGTCTCTTTTGGCGCCTGACACATATACCCCCAAGCAAATGAGGCCTTCCTTTATTGAGAACATCGTATTGGTCCAGTATTCGATGAGTATTGGTCAAGTATTGGGTCAGGATTGGTCGAGTACTGGCTTAGCATTGGTTGAGTTGGTTGGTATAAGAACTTGCTCGTTATTAATCAAAACTTTGTTAAACATGTTCTTGGTGCTGGCTGGGAAACGACAATTTCGTTCGGGATCAAAGGCGCTCAGCTGTTTGCCTCTGTTTTGGCGCTTTTCTCTGAAAGGCACTCGTTTTTATTTGGGGCTGATAGATCATTTTGCACACCCGGTTCTATGATTGGTGCCCGTTGATACTCGGGCCCCAGCATTGCTGGCAACACCTGATTAACAGCGCTCTTGTTTGTTTGTTGTTTGGTTGGAGTTTGTCTGGTTTGTTTGTCTGTTTGTGCGTTTCCGTTTGTTTGTTTGTCTGCTGTTTTCCTGTTTGTCTGATTGTCTGTCTCTCTGTCTGTTTGTTTGTTTGTTTGTCTGTCAGTCTGCCTGCCTGCTTGCTCGTGTGTTTGCTTATTTGATTGTTTGTGTGCTTGGCTGCGATTGTGCGATTGCTTTCTTGTTGTTGTTTTTTGTTTGTTTCATGCGTGTGTCTGTCCATCTGTCCGTTTGTTCATTCATTCTTTTCTATGTGCATCGCTGCATGTTCCCCCCCATTTGTGTTTATGTGTCTTGTTTTTTGGTGTGTGTGTGTGAGTTATTTTTGTTTCTTTGGTTCATGTTTATGTCCTCGGACCCGTCTAAGCTTCCAGGCAGTCGCCAAGGTGAACACCGCCGGCAACCCGGGATCAAAGCGAGGCTGTAGTGCTTACATCACTGGTGCAGGATTTGGTTCGTCCACTGTACACTCCCTCAGACTATATAACAGCCGGAAGCTCCCAGAAGGCCTTTGTAAATGGAAACAAGTCTTCCAAAGGGGTCGTGGTATCATGCACAAATGCTCCATGCGTTTGTGGATTACTTGCGGTAGGGAATGTGGGATTTTGTCCTCAGGCGTTGGTCAAACCACCGGTCGGATGGTTTACAAGGGTCATTCCCTCATTCCCTGCCCCTGTCAGGCCGAGGCTGCAGAACCCAGCAAGCCGTACAACCAACCAACCAACCAACCAACCAACCAACCAACCAACCAACCAACCAACCAACCAACCAACCAACCAACCAACCAACCAACCAACCAACCAACCAACCAACCAACCAACCAACCAACCAACCAAACCAACCAACCAACCAACCAACCAACCAACCAACCAACCAACCAACCAACCAACCAACCAACCAACCAACCAACCAACCAACCAACCAACCAACCAACCAACCAACCAACCAACCAACCAGCCAGCCAGCCAGCCAGCCAACCAACCAACCAACCAACCACTGCATGACGCAGAATTGTTTCATGCGCTTTTGGATTTTTCCGCCTGCGGTTCGTTTCCCGCAGTTCTCGTCGTGCCTTGAATTACCGAGGTGCTGATCCCATGTACTCTGGAGCTGGAAGAGGAACATGAACAGGCGAAGAGGCCAGAGAGACGCGACCTCGACTTGCTGAGTTTCCTGGCTTGTCCTGGCTTACCTATGCTTCTTTTAGCGAAAGCGCTGGGAAAGAGTGTGTTTTTTGCTTGGGGCTCTTGTTCCTCCAACATCCTCCAACCCCAAGCTGGTTCTTTGACCTTTACTGTTGACCCCGGATGAATAAAAACTCGTCCTATTCTTAGGGCCCACCAAAACATGGGTGTTCCCTCCAAAAGTGGTCCGAATCCAACACTAAAACGGGACACCCCTCGATCAAAATCAACAGGGGTTTATTATTCCTGGGTTAACATTACTTCCCTTGCCCGAAATGAACAACTCGTAGTTTTTTGGGATTTTCAATGGTAGTTTGGGACATGTATTAGCATGTTTGCCATGGGGCTTAAGCAACAAGCTTACTTTTTGGGTTTGGACCATTCGCGTGGACTTTTTGCGCTCCTTCTGGCTGCAGATGAAACAGATTTGGCCGTGTGCAATCGATGTCGCCAATTCAGTTTTCAGTTCGGTTCAACTGGGGGGCGGAAAACGAAGGCTCATGGTGGCGGTTGTTGTAATGTTCTCTGTTTGTTCAGCTGGCAGTGTGGGAGAATTCGGCGTGTTTGTGCATCGTTTGTTTGACTGTTCAACTGATGGGAAGAATAAGGCTCATGTTGGCATTTGGTATGTGTCCTTTTTGGTTCCAACGGGGAAGTATGTACATGTTTCCAGCTGTGCCCTCCCCATTCAGGTCTCCTTTTTGATGAAGTCAGAGGTGAGGGAATCACCCTGTAGACTTGTCACATGTGTTTTCCTTTCTCCTCTTGGTGTGTGAAATTATATCATGAGTGGCACCTGAGCCGCCCAATCAGCAAATTGGGCATGACTGTCCAGGCAATGTAGGAGCCTGAAAGAAAGAACGGGGTGGTGGTGTGCTGAAACCAAGCTTAGTCATAATCAGAATCATTTGGCTGTGGGTCAAAACCAATGGTACCTTTTTGAGGAAGGTGCACCGCCCATTTGAGTGTACTTTCGTGGGGATCGAATCGGATGTTCACTGGGGGTACGATTTGGCTTTTGACCCATGGCCATGTATGTGCACTCATTTGGGCATGGGTCAAAATCGTACCACCAGGAATTGGACCGCAGATGTTAGTCCATATTTACCCGAAGCTCGCCATTTTAGGGGTTGCCCACTATTTTTGACTCTCGCCATTTGGCCCCTTTTCTCTTGCCTATGCCACGGGGCCACCGGACGAAAGCCGCCCACTTCTCCCGGAGGAGCGCCCAACCCCCGAGAAACCCGCGCCACCGAGCCAGGATCGTGCCGCAGCTCACGCGCCTCGAGGGCGTTCCGCGGAACGAATGGGCTTGGGGGGGGCGGGGAAGCAATGGGGGGCCGGTGAATGGGTCCAGCAATGGGTGCCCTTCCTCACCCCTTTTTTTGTTGGGAAGGGCTCCCCTAATAAGATAGACTACAGAAGAAAGTTGGTGCCAAGTTATTACTTTGACCGTTTCTTTTTTGGTTGGGAAGGGTTCGGGACCCTAATCAAATAGGCAAAACCGAAAAAAATCGGGTACCGACATATTCTATTCTCTCTACTGGAGGACCTAGCTTTTCTTCCATTTGCTGAGATGAATATTTTCGTGAATTTTCCCCTGGTGGGTTTAAAGTCGGAATCTATCACTACTGCAAAGATGTTGTTTTTTCCTTCCGGGGGGCTGAAGCAACATGTATTGGTTGTTTTTCCTGGCGCAGAAGTTCGTCCGACTTTGGACGAAATTCATCTCGCAGCACCCAAGAAACCAGGTTGACACCATAGTGTTTGTCATGGTAGCTACAAAAGGAATCATCGCTCCGGGGATTCTTTTTTGGTGCGACACGGGTCTGGCTCTGAAGCCGAGGGCAAGTGAACATATCTCAGGTGTGCATCATCGCAGTGCTATTGCTGCCAAAGCTGATGCAGCTCAACCGGGACACTAACCATCTCATCCTCCGGCCCGGGCCCCGTGTTGGTGCGAAGTGCCTTGGTTTGTGGAAAGAACCTGCTGGCTGCCCTAAGCTAGGTCCCCCAGCTAGCTGCCCTTTTACCGTTCCTTTTTGGTTGGGGGTTCGGGACCCTAGTGAAATAGACGTCCAGAAAAAAGTGGTCCTAACCTCTCTACTGGAGGACCTAGGGTCATGGGGCCTGGCACGCGGAACCTGAGGGTCCCCGAGTTGCTGGGGTCTCGAAACAAGTGGCTTTGGAGCCGCAGCCAAAATGCATCGATCGAAGCCTTAGATGAGATTGTCTCAGACGAAGCTCGAAGTTCCAAGACTCCCGCAGCACTGCCAGGAAGGCCTGCCCGAGCGTCAAACTGCACGTTATTGGGGGAAGCGCTCATAGTTTTTTGGGGGCATGTCCTGTTTCAAAGGGTGGGTTGAGGGAGGCGCCAAACCACAGGCCCGCAGCTTCCCAGGGTGGATGAAAGCCATTGCCGTTTTCGTGTCTCTGTGTGTGTGGGTTCTGTGGGGAGGGGGTTCTGGGCTTTCGCCAGAGCACGTCCCTCCCAAGCGGGGGCATGAAATGCGCATGAAATGGGCTCGCCCCTGGCATTTCTTGCCTGTGCGCCAGGGTGTGACCACGTGATCATAAAGCACCGTTTCACTCGAGGTTTGCAGGGGTGGTCGTCAACCCCTCAGGCCTCAGACAGCCATTGAAAAAGGGGTCAGTAAGGGAAAAACGGAAGGAGTTTTTGACTCAAAGCTTGGGCCATGCCCAAAAAGCCCAGGATCTCAGCCATTTTGGGATCAAAGTAGCTGGCCGCCGGGCCAACAAAAAAACCGGCCGCGATGTCCAACCGGGTGCTGCTTCCTTCGGATGTGCTGCCTGAGCACTACGACCTGACCTTGGAGCCGGATGTGGAGACTCGTGTGGCAATGTCATTTTTTTGTTGGTATGTCCCGCTGGTTTTTGGGAAGCTATGCTTCCGTCCAGGTCCCGGCTTGCTTGCCTGAGCCCTAAGTTCCGTAAGTCCTGAGCTCTCCCGGTTGTTTTTGGGAGGGTATGCTTCCGTCCAACTCCCCGAGCTGCTTCGCGTTGAGCGATCCAAGCCTTTGGCAAGGAGAAGTTCGTCTTCGACGGCGTGGTTAAGATCACCTGCGACGTCAAGGCGAATGGGTGGCATTGGGGGGACATTGGGCTGGAGGTCCCCGGCTTTTAGGATCCCTTCAGGGCTTATGGACTATGGACTTTGATGTTCATTTGGGTGGCTCGTCCTTTGAGGGACCCCTTGAAATTGGTGGTTTAGGAGGACAAATGCAAGGAGAAAAGCTGAAATTCATTTTCGCAGGAACAGACGGCGGTATACCACTTTTTCGGGTGGTTTCGAAGGAACCCCTCCATATTGGCGGGTTCTCAAAAAGACGAGCGAGCCATTTGGGAAGTGCCCCCGAGGTGGCCACGGACAGTATCAGCGTGCACGCGCACGAGCTGGTGATCTCTCATGTGCCCCGGTTCTTCGAGAGTTCTTATGGGTTGCGGGAGAGAAGTGGGGAGCGGGAGGGGCCGATGGGCGAGGGGCGAATTCGGAGGTTTCTTTGGGCTGCTATGCCAGGTGGGGATGAGGGAGGATTAGTATGGGACGCCCCGCTTCAGGGTTCCCCTGTCTGATCTTCGACCCCCAAGGTTCCTGAAGCTCTTCGCCAGCCTCGCCAGAAATATCTACCCCCTCCGCTATGCAACAGGTTTACCTCGTCTGGACAAATTGTCAAACCAGCGCACGGCCCCCCTTGCCCGAGCTGATTGTTCCTAATTTCCAGTTTGGACATAAGTCGAAACTTGCCCAGAATGGTACTGCGGGGTATATAGCGATTTATGCAGGGGGGGCAATTGGTTGTCAACGGATAAAAGCCCGACAGCAAACTGGTTCCAGATCAAACACATGATCGACTTGTTCAAAACGACGCAAGGGCGAATAAGGGGAGCCAGCCACTTTAGCAGTACCCATACTCCCTATTTGTCTGGGTCAGCATCCGATACCATCTTACATGATTGCCCTTGACTATGGTGGTGGTACACACCAACAAGACCCCAGGTGTGCAGTTGATAGAGCACACAACTATCTCCCCCACCCCCTTCCCACCCAGAAACAAGATAACTTCCTCTTTTTTTTTGGGGGGGGGTTCTTGATCAGTGCCGGACAAAACTTTAATCGGGTCGACAGTGGCTGGCATCACGTTCCCTCCGTTTGGAGAGTTCCACCTCACTTCCCCAGTCTTGATGCCTCCCAGGCAAAGGTCATATGTACCATGAGCCCTCCAACTGGGCCAGGTGTTGAATACATATATATATATATATCTGCTTGCGTGGATTGGGCATGGTGGTGGGAAAACTAAGGATGATGATAAATAAGAGCAACGAAAATAATGGATAATAACTGTCTGTGACAGTACTAATGACGATCAATACTTAGTAATAGTTAATGGACGTCATAACGAAAATAACAATAGTAGTCATAATAATGATGATAGCAATAACAATGAATGACAGCAATAATAATGAATAACAGTCATAATGATAAATAAACACACTCCTTAAACGTAACAATTCAACACACAACAGTTAAACATACTAGTCCATCTAACAACAAAGCACACAATAAACATAAATTTAACACATAACTTTTTCTAGCATAAACTAACACAACCAACAGAAGTTTAACAAACATACCAGTCGATCTAACACATAACTTTCTCGCCGCAGGCTGTCTTTGCCACGTCTCGGGTCTGGCCGCTTCTCCCAGGTGAGCTTCACCTCAGACTCGGGAGCCGTGAGCAAAGCGGACTCCATCACGCTGCAGCTGCTCAGCTCAATCGGGATGAGCTGCGCTCTCACGCACACACACACGCGCGCCACTTTCAGTTATGGGGGCTGGAACTAATCTATCAACATCTGATATAATATTTAAAACATCAAATACTGCATTCAGAATAGCAGATAGTTCAACTACACCTTCAGTTTTATTATCTATTGATAAGACATTTGGAACAACAGTAAATACTGAAAGTTTTACAAATAATGCTCCATCAACTTTTAATGAAAATGTAACAGTTGTTAATACAAAAACATTATTTGTTAATACGGGGTAGACAAGGGTTTTTTGGGGCTCCCTCCCCCCCAGCCCCCATGATTCAGCAAAGGCATGCATGTGCAGGTAAGGCCCCTCAGGCTCAGTCGATACAGGCAAAGCTGGCTCTATTAGAGCATCCCGCTTGGCCAATCAAATGGCTGCATATGGTGGCCAAGATGGTGCACATGATTTGCCCCCCTTGCCCCCCCCTCACAGCGAATACATGACCAAACAGAGGGTTTTCCCACTTTGGCAACCGCCAAATTTGCTTGCTGGTGGTAAGTAGGGAATGTGGGAATGACCCCTATAACCATCCCTTGTGGATTCCTTTAAGGGAATCGCCAGGTTCATTCCCACATTCCCTGAGCACCAGCAAGTTGGTGCATGTGCCAAAGTAGGGCCCTAACAAATTGTTGGTGTTCTTTAAAGGGCTGCCCTAGTGGCTCACTCAAAAGAGGACAGGTTCATGTGCCAGGGGGCCGCCCGGAAAAATGAGTGGGTGTCGTTTTTGGGCTTCCAATAAAAACGCCAAGCCCTGTAAAATGGACCAAAAGAGCAAAGGTCGACCATTTGTGTTGTCCTTACTTCTTAAATTCTTAAATCCGTTGGGGTCTGTCTTTGTTCGAGGGTACCCTTGCCTTTCTGGCTCAGAAAGCCCGAGGGACAACTCCCACGACTTTGGGGGAACCAAGGCGAGAAGCCGCTTGACCCAAAGTGGGCCAGACTCAAAGCCCAGCCGAAGGATAGGGATACTCCCAGCCATAAATCACGCCCGAGCATTTTAAAAAATACACGGGTTTTGAGTATGAGTCAAGTCTGGGGTAGACTTAGGCCACATTTTACCATTTTATCAGTGACTCCATCAATATGAAGCAAACCAGTAAAAATACCTTCTATCACCGGGCCTAACTCTAATCATGTTTCCTTGGTGGTTCCCAAGCATCCGGTTCCTTAGTTTTTAGTGGGATGTCACCATTTCACTCATGTAACCCCATTTTTCTTCCACAGAATTAGTTCCCCTTTTTGATTGGTTTTTTGGGGGTTGCCTTTGCTTTCCGCTAACCAGGCATTGTTGTTATGTTTCTTGCTGAAAAATGTCTTCCAGGTCCAAGTTTTGCTTATGGGTCCAGTGGGCCAGGCTGAAGAAGAAGATCGCAGTGCTGGGTTTCGAAGAGGTGCTCCCCACTGGCAAAGGCGCTTCGAAGAACCTTTTGATGTGAAAGATCGGATGGGGGAAGACGGCAGAAAATTGGCTTCAGGTTGTTTGTTTAGTGTTTTTGTTTTGTTTGCCTTTGCAGACTGTATGTCGGTTTGTGTGTGTGTGTGTGTTGCTTCTGTTTGTTTTTGGCCTTGGCAGAATTTGTTTCAGGTTTTGTGTTGATTCTGCTTGTTTTCGCGCCTTTTCGTTTGATTCCGCTCATTTTACATTCGGGGGCTGCAAACAAATCAAAGTTGTTTGCTACCATGCCAAGGGCAGGGCAACACCTCAGTTGGTGGTTTGGATTGGTCTGGGATTTGAACAGGTCCCTGGCTTCTGTTTTTTTACTGGGAAACCCTTCCGGAACACGAAACCAACGGGCTCCACCAATCATGCTGATTTATGGCGACCTCACCGATGCAGGGGAAATCGACCGCAAGCCATGGGAGGGTCCAATTTTGATTTCAGGTTTTGGACATATTGTAACATGTGCAGATGGCATGGGATACAAACACGTGAAAGACCCACTTTTCGCAAGCTGCACCGCCAAATCGCGGAACATCCAGAAATGGGCTTTGTTTCATAGCTTCTTCTGTTGGTTTCCCTTGCAGCCACGAAAGAAGTGGGAAGTAGGCCAGACATGTGATTGTCTCCCCATGAGCCATTGGCAGTCATTATAGAAGCCAAACGAAGTGTATCTACTGTCCACTCTCCCTTACCAGGCTCCATTCCTGGAAATATCCACACGGATGGCTTGTGAACTGTCTCACAAATCAAAGGGCCTGCAATTAACAACGGGTCTCTGTGAAAAGAGCATGATCTAACTTCAGATCCCCCATCTCCGTAGCCCGCAGCTCGTCCCAGTCGACGCTGGAATGACAGGGTGCAGACACACGTTTGTAACCCAGATGGTCCAGTTGCAGTGTCCCAATCTTCAGCTGATCCAGTACTCGCTGTGTCCACTTCAAAGCTGATCCACGTTTTCCCGAGCTGAGTTGGTCCTCCGGGAAAATAGGATAGCAAGTACTTACATCCCAAGCCGCGCACTGCGTCTAAGAAGCCCAACTGCTTCTGATTTGATTCCCCTATAAATACCAACGAGCGTCATGCTGCGAAAAGGATTTCGCGTGACCATCCGCCATCGATTCCCTTGAATGCCAACAAACGTCATGGTTCCCCTGAGCATTTTCGCACCATACTAGGAAACCCTGGTTTCTAATTCGATTCCCCTCTACCTACCAACAATCGTCATGGTTTCAACCCTGTTTTCTGCACTTTTGCTGCGAGGAATCTCGCAGGATTTCGCGGCACGGATGCCATCCAAGCCGCTGTCAGGTGTCTTAGAGATCAAGTTCCGGGGGACCTTGAACGACCAGCAGCTCGCCTGGTCGGCCTCGGTCGACTGAACTTCAAACTTTTGGTGTGGACCACTTTTGGTAACTAAAAAGTGCGGCCCCTTTTTTTGGCCGGTCCATTCAGCTAGTGGGTTGTTGTTGGTGGTGGGCTCCCCTGTAAACTGCACCAACCAAAAAGCAGATGCCCTTTTTTTCCATGGAGATCTGGGCATTTGAGGGTCTTGTGCTTTTGGAAGAGCAGTTTATTGTAAAGAATAAGTCCGGCTTAGTTCCAATCCGCCAGGCACAAAAATGTGAACCTCTGAAAGCTGAAGTCCCGTCTGAGGAGAGAATGGGGCGACCAGCTGTACCCCTAGAAAGGTTCGCAAGGAGTCCTTTGATCAGAACCCTTTGTCAGAAGATGCTGTGAACCTCTCTGGCGAAAACACGAAACTCTCCCCTTGTCATGCTTCAAGGGTCCAATTGTTGCGTTTGTGTTTTCAGGGAGAAAGGAGACATTAAATGACAAACGGGCTCGGTCCATGGCGTGTTTGGCAGTTTTCAATATCACTGTTTCATGTCAGCCGCGTAAGCCGCGTTTTATGTGATTTTGTTTAAAGCTTTTTGTTTTTTGTTTTTTGGGGGGCCTCATTTCGATGGACCCCCGTATTTCACGGGTCCAATTGTTTTTAGTTTCAGGGTACGGGTCATCCCGAGGATGGCGGGCTTTTACCGGTCGCAGTACACGGACGCCAACGGCGCCAAGAAGTTTCTGGCCACAACTCAGTTCGAGGCCGGGCCGCGTTTTTGGGAGGTGATACTTCGTTGCCAGTGGTTAGCCACTTGGCCCCAGTTGCCCAGTGGCGGGAAACCTTTATTTTTCTTTCCCCTTTTTTGGGGAAGGGTTCCCTTTCAAGTCAACAAATAAAGGATGGCCTTTGTTTCCCATGGCCACTGGGCATCGTGGCTGTGGCTCAAAAACATGTAATTACCCGAAATGGACTTGGGTTATGACCCCTAAGGTTTACCCCATTTAGTGGTTGGGAGGGAAAGCTTTGTTCGTTGCCAGTGGTAACGCTACCTTGGCAAATGGAAACAGAGACGAAAACCCGCGAGACCCTAGGTATGGAATTTTGAGCCATACACACTTATGACCCCTGCAAGCAACCAAGCAACCAAGGCAACCAACCAACCGGGAACCTGCCAACAACAGCCCACCAAGCCAAACCCACCCACAACCAAGAAGGTTAACCCGAAACCACATGGACGAGTTGCATGTTGAGTCGCTGACGCCGCAGGCCTTGGGTGTGTGGCTTTGCAGACTCTTCTGGCGCTTGATGTCCTGGCAACCAACAGCCATCCTTTTGCATCGCCTTTGGGGCCTTCGAGACCTTTCTTTTGTAGGAGTGATGCTATACGGATCTTAGGTGTCCTTTTTTGGTTAGTTTGTTTAAAGAGGGATGGGACTGGTCTAGATGAGGTTAATTTAACTTCATTTACCAGGGCCATTTATTTGTCCAAAAGGCCACCTATGATAAGGATGCTAAGGATAATGTTGGGAACCCTGTGAACATTCCCTCTTGTGTTCTAAGAGTTTTCATCAACCATGGCTGTAGTCATCCCCTCGCCCCGTAGCAAAGCATTGCACCTGGGTTTTCCAGATGAAATCAGCTGAATCTAGAGGCAAGAAACTCTAGATACCTGTTCTGGCCGGCCTGGACCCCTTTCGCCAACTCGGGCAGGTGAACCACCGTTGCCTACAGTTCGTTGGAGTCCCATGCGTCTCTTTTGTTATGTTACAGGCAACAAGGAAGCCATTTGGGGGATTGACAGGCCCATGTGAATTGCACCTCCTGACATTGCGTTTTCAGCCCAACGACAGGGTTTCCAAATGAAGGATGTACAAAAACTACAACCCCCGAAACCTCGAAACAGGGTGATGCCCCGCTGCCCAGGGATAGCCTGAGGGTGCAGGTAAGGTTTTCACTGGAACCCTTGATGCTCGACTGAAGCAAGGCTTGAAAGGTTGTTCTCCGATGGCCGTTCCCATGGCCGGAGAAGAAAAGCCATGGGGTGGGTTTCACTTCCTGAATTCCTGGACCGTAAGGTTTTTGAGAAGACCAGTTTGGTGGTAAACAAAAAGCTCGGACCTTTTTCGGCTGATGCACTCAGCAAGTGACGGGTTGAGGGCTGGTTTTTCGAAACCCATGTGCTGTGGTATTTTCCTTCTTCATTTTTTCGGAAAGCACCCCTCGAGGCCATCGACGCGCGGCGCTGCTTCCCCTGCTGGGACGAGCCGGCACGCAAGGCCACGTTCACGGTGACACTGGTGTGCCTCGATCACAGCGGAAGGTTTCGCTCAGGGTGTCTATTTGTTGACGCGAGCTCACCGGGGGGGTAGAACGAGCGGAAGCCATGACAAAGGCCCTTTTGGGATGTCCCAGGACCAGCTGTTGGGTGAACGGATGGAACGGGATCCCAAAATGGCGGGTTGGTGCGAAGCGGATGTTGTCCAGAATCCCAGGCTGCTTATGCTCACTTCCTGAGTTTCGAAACAGGGACCCCTTCAAGCAGGGCATCCCCTTTATGGGGCACAGGGCAATCTCCCAATTGTTTGACTCACATCCGGAGTTTCTGGGCTTTAGTGACTTTTTGGGGCTGGACCATTTTAGTGGCAAAGAACAAGTTTGGGGACCCTGTTTGGGCCATCCACGAGGGAAATGCGGGGCGGATGTTTAAGCTGGGTCTGTGAATTTGCCAAACACTGGTGGAACATGCTAAAGACACGAAAAGGAAACCAAGTATTTTTCAGACCCTTGGAACCACCCCGAAAAGGGTACCCTCACAAAGTACATATGTGGAACATGTTGGGTTCGAGGGCCGCAAGGTCACTTTTTGCCAGTCAGCGTAGCAAATGGGGGTTTCTCAGCATTGAGGCCCGCATGAGGTTGATACCTTTTGGTTTCGTTTCTCAGCCCTCCAAAAGGGGCAAAAGCCGTTTCAGAAGGGAGTTCTACCTGGATGAGCAAGGATGATAGTGTGGCCCATGAAACAAAGCCTAAAAGTTTGTTGGTGGAGCCTGAGTCTTGGTGCCGCTTTGTGCCAATGTTTAGGGTCAGCCTCAAGCCACCTTTCAATGGGCAAGACCGTCCCATGAGAAGATGTCCAGTTCAGATCCGGGTTCCGCCCCCCCGGGCCCACGACTCACCAGAAAGTGGGCGGGTTTGCTCCTTGAGCAAGGAAAAAAAGCACAGGGCCTAAGTTGGAACGCTTTTCTGGAGAAGCCGACCCATGTTTTTCGGGGTTTTTCACTCAGCGAGTGCAAGTTTGAAAGTGATCAAAGGGCGTGGGCTTCCCAAGCCAGCAGACCCTTGGCCACATCTCTGGTCAACATTGAGCACCAAGACCGGAAAAGAACATCAGAGGGAGTCCCTGATTTTCCTGACAGAGGTCGGGGCAAGAGGCTTTGCAAATGACAGACCGACCATACCTTTTTGGGACAATCAAGCTGCCTAAGGATTTTATTTTGAGGAGGTAACTCATTCATCAGTGCCACTTCAGGATTTGATTTGAGGAAGTAACTCATGCACCAGTGGTTCAAAGTGTGAGGTCCTCCAGTTCGGCGATTGTTCCTTGTGCTTTTCAACTTCTACTGTGTCCAAACTATTTTCCCGAAAATCACAACCCGACACTGCAACACCCTATATCTATGGCCAGGGCGAGTTGATCGTCTCCACATATTTCTCTTGCCCGAGAAAATGTTGCAAGGCCTGAGCTTTGATATGTTCCATCAGCTCAAAGTCGTTTGCTGTGCTCATCCTTCCCCCAGCAATGGCGCTTCCTTGATGTTGAGCTCGTGAGGTGTGGCGGAACGGGGTGCTGCCACACCCATCGAAACTCAAAAGGCCGCTCGCAAAAGCAGATCCCCATCCTAGGATGGGTCTCCCCCACAACCCAATTCTATCCCATGAAGAGCCGGGCGGATGTTGGTGGTTAACCCCGTATCCCCTGTGTTTTTTTTTTGTGCCGAGACCCAACCCTTCCCCGCCTTTCTTTCCTTCGAGCGATTCGAGCGAGCGAGCGAGCGAGCCAGACCTACCGGCTTCCCTGAGGTATGCGGGGAAGCTGCAGGCCATCTCCAACATGCCCCCGAAGAGTTTGGAGATCCTCCCGGACGGCCGCAAGAAGGAGGCCGAAAGACTACAAACGCCAGACAGCCAGCTTAGTAGCTGCTCCCGAAAACCTTCCCTGAACCCGAATGTACTTCTGGTGATGTTGTCCTCTGCATGCTTTCAGGTCTTTATGCCGACCCCAAAGATGTCCACCTATCTGCTGGCCTTCTGCGTGGGCGAGTTCGAGTTCATCAGCGCCTCCACCAAGAGCGGAGTGCTGGCCCGCATTTTCGCCTGCCCAGGCTGGAGGAGTCGATTCGACGGGAAAAAGTCCACGGCCAATTCACAGGGATGACACGTTTTATTGCCTTCCTGGCTGGTCGAGGTGTCTCTTTCCCAAGCGCAAGCGCCCCAAGCGCGGAACCGAGACTCTCGCAGAGGTCGATTGATTGGTGTGTCAGGGTTACCTTTATGTCCTCTTTAAAATTCAGCCCGAAAAAATAAGTGCTGGCCCAAACAGTTCGTAGATCACGTCCAAACCCTTCGGTGTGTCTTTTCCCAACAGGTGCAAGCCAGTGGGCCTGTGCTCCAGCTAGGCTTCGGAGTGGTAATGGGCTCTCAGCTGGGGTTCTGGAAGGGTTTCGGGAGTTGTCAAGGTTAGGGTTTTGGTTTTAGCTCTGCTTTGTGTTGGTGGGGAGGTTTGGAGCCTGGATGGCATTTAGGTGAGAATTTGCCTTCCAATTTGGCAATGCCTGTGAAGTGGAAGATCTGGCGATGCTGCTTCCCTGTTGGCAATGCTAGTAAGCCAGGTTCTGGGTGCTAGTGATGCTAGTGATGCTGGTCATGCTTGCTCAATTTGCAATATGATAGCTTTGCAGGAAATTGCGAAGATTTGTGGCGACGCTAGTGATGATGCTGCCAGTGAAGGGCGTTGCTTTGAAAAGACGGGAAGGCAACACGGTGCATGCCGGCGGCAAACAAGAAGCTGCAAGAGGCTTCCGGCACGAAACACAAAGGGGATGGCCGGCAACATACCGCCCGGCAAATTCAGTTGGAAGTTCAAAACACCGTTGATTTTTGTAGGCATCTGCTATTGCAGGATCCCAAGGAGGGTTGCATTTACGGAGGCAGTGCCAAAATCAACCAATTGTTGTATGTGTTGGGAAGCCCCCAGTCCAAAGCCGAATGCTATGGTTGTCCATTTCTCGGACCCATGGCAAGAACGGTTCGCAAGCTTTCCTGATTTCCCTGCCATTGAATCAGAGTCTCACCTCGGCAAGTCTAAGCATTGCATCTGTTGGTTTAAACACCCTGTGCCCAACGGCTTTGTCGTGTTCTCCTTTTCCTCGTGCAAGCGCTGGCAACCTTTTGCGGGGGGTTGTTGCCCCCTTTTTGCCTGGTATTACTTCTGCAAGGGTCTTGGCATACAAAGATGCCGTGCTGGAAATTGGATGGTTGTGCTTTTGTCTGGAAAAGGGGGTCCACTTAGATTTTCAAGTAAGAATGTAAACAACATGTATGCATGGTGACTGCTGACGCTCTTCTCCCTCTCCAGTTGGACTTGAAGCTTGTCTTCATAAGTTTCACGGCTGGGCAATCCACGGAGGTGAGGGGAGACTTCAAGTTTCCGCCTTCGTTTTCAACAGAGCCACAATCAAAACCCGGGTGGATGGAGGTTTGTAAGGAGACTCCCAGCCATAAATAGCTGCGGCCGCCTTCTTCATTCTTTACATGGTTTTGGGTAGACCATTTTAAGACCGGGTTTTGATTATGACTCAACACGGTTTGTCCCTGGATCATCGACAGAGCAGCCCCTCGACCATCGGGATGTAGTTTAAATTTACCTGGCTTCAGGGTGAAAGGCCGATGTACACGTGGCTCGTTTTTTTTTGCTGAGTTGGTACCCCCTGTTTTGTGGCTTAAAGAGAAACCAACAGGACCAAAAACAAACTCCATTTTGGGGGGGCCCTAGCAAAGTACACCCACGTAAACCTCTATAACTATAACAGACTATAACCATCTTATATTCCTAAGACCGAAAACTTGTAACTGTTTTTTTTGTCCGGTCGCTTAGGTGATGCCGATCCCATTTGCTCTCGGCGAAACCCCTGAGGCAACAGCAAGCGATGCAGCCTCGCGCTGAAGTGCTGCATCAGGGCTCTGGAGTTCTATGATGAGTTCTTTGGTCTTAGCCCCTCGACTCAAATCCAGACACCAGCGGGGCCAAATTTTCCACATTTGGACCACTGCAGGGTAGCGCGTTTTTCGTAGGGGTGATTCGCTCCGCCCGAGAAAAAGAAAAGTGAGTGAGGTCGATGTGATATTCCCCCTTTTTTTACTGCTGCTGTTTTTAAGTAGGAAGACCTTTGGGCCATTTTGGCACAAGGAAACTGAGCAGTGGGAACCCAGTTGATTCTCAAATCCTTGAGTTAGGGGGCGTCCTATCCCACACAATGTAGTTTAATATCTACCCTCATTGACCCTCCAAATGGGCCAAATGTTGGTATATAGTGCGTACATGGATTGTGTGGGATTGCAGAGGTGACCACAATCTCCCAGGCTGATTCATGAAGCCACAAGGTTCTTCGAGGAGGTTTCCTTACCAACAAGTTCCTGCCTTGTGCGCAGGGGCTGGGAAAATTGCTTTGTCAGCCACCGGACCACCACATATTTCTGGGGGTCCCCCTATGCCTGACACATACCTAGGTGTTTCCTGCCTGGTCTTTTTCTTTCTTCGCCGGGCACGAGGGTCCTCTTTGTGAACATAGTTTCGGGGTTGCTAAGATTGGTGAAACTCCTGCGGTTGGCGGTATCTTGCTAGCAGGAAGGGAGGCCGATAACGAATTCGGCACAGTGACCTGTCGCAGCTACCCATCTCAATCTCCGGATCGGGGAAGCTTAAAGTCAGATAATGCTTAATTCACTCCCTCAGTTCTTGGATGTTATGCTTTTTGGGTTTAGACCATTTTAGTGCACAGGTGTCGGTTAGTTTGACTAGAAGTAGATGGCACTGGTTTAGATTGATTTATTCCATTTAACAGGGCATCTATTTGTCCAAAACGACACCTATGTTTTAGTTGCAACGAAGGAGTTCCCAGGTGTTCTGGTCAATCCGCTCGATCGGAAGTGAGTCAATTCAGGTCCTTCGGTATGCCAGGTGCCGGCTGTTTCCCCCAAAAGTGCGAGCGCACGACGCCTTTGCTGCCCAGTCGTTCTTGGTGTTTTTCCAGGGCCCCAGTTGCCCCGCGCCTTGTTTTTTGTGTGTTTTGTTGCTTGGGAAGGGTTCCGCTTTAAACTTAACCAAAAAGGATGTCCTTTTTCCCACGGCCCCTGGCATCCGGGCACATATACGTTTCCCGGCGTCTGACCGTGCTTTAACATTCTCTTGTGGGGAGGCCAATTAAAAGAGTGTGATGAGCCTCTGCTTCGTGATGCTCGAATATCATATCTTTTCAGGCCAACACATACTTACAAAGAGTTTTTGGTTGAGTGGCTATTCGGTTGCTAGTAACGCAACCTGGTGCTACATCTTATGTCTTGGTGGTTTGAAACATCACCTTTTGGGGCAAGCCATCGGACGTTCAGCCCTTTTCGGTTGGCTGAACATGGTGCGGTCGCTTGGAACGAAGCATGGGCGTAGGTCCAGAAGGTGTTTTTTTACTTTGGTGCATTTTGCTTGGATATTAGGACTTTGTCTTTTTGCCAACAAATGGGTTTTCCATTAAACCACTAAAAGTTAAACTTTGAGCAGGGGAGCAGATTTCGCAACCGAGCTACTGTGGATGGACTCCGCGGGCCCCATGCCAGCGGTAAACATTCACCTGCCCGCTGACTATTCGCTCAGGCGAAAAGGAAAGTCAGCGAGTCCCGAGCAGAGGTGTCCTTTGATCGGAAACAGAGATGGGCTCCACCGGAGATGGATTTGATGCCATCCATCTAGAGAAATCCCATCGGATTTGTGCAAGAGTCCAGTGGCTTTGGAAAAACGAAGCAGTGCAAGAACTCGAGGCGCCCTATGGAGAGAGTGCCATATGAGAGCCCAGCAAAACCTCTGGAAGACCAATATGTAAAGGCTGGACATGACACGCAGTTGAAGCCAGTATTTGTTGGTTTTTTTCTTGGGGGTCACCATTCCAGGCTTTCTTAAGTGGTGCAGAATTTCGTCCATCCACACCTATGGCGCCGCTTTTCTGTATTTTTTCCATGGACATCCACCTTTGGCATCCGAGGGTCTCTGAACAGTGGCGCCCAAGTGGTCCTGAGGATGTTGTTTTCCTGAGGATTGTCCTCCAACTTGGCTCAACCTTTCTTGTAATGGGGGCAAGGAACCCTAGAAAAGATGTTGCTGTGGTCCTGAGGCTACCCGCTCCCCAAGATGGACATGATCGCCATCCCCGACTTCTCCGCCGGGGCAATGGAGAACTGGGGCCTCGTGACCTACCGAGAGGTCGATCGATGGCAACGGATTTTTTTTGGCCTCAAAAGGGGGGGGGGAGTTTTTGGAGGGAGCCCGGTTTTAGGAAAGCCTCACCCCCTCAAAACCTGGACTTGATAAGTACTTTTTGGGGTTGAACCAGTTTAGTGGCAAAGAAGTTTAGACTTTGTTGGCCAATCCGCTCAGGAAGTGAGATACGAACCCCAACATGGGTGGTTTCCTTTTGGTTGGCCTTGAAAACCATCCAAACTATCCCTTAGAGCCTATCTGAGCAGAGAGCCCAAAAACAAACCTACGTCCTTGACCCACGCAGTCAGCCTGCCTAAGGGCTGAGAACCCAAAGTCAATGAGATACCCACGGACCGGGGTTTAAATTCCAAATCCAAACCACCAATCCAAGCGCTTGTGGTAAACTCAGTATGTCCAGTAGTGTTTCCCTTGAAAACCAACCGGAGAATGAGGACCTGAGTTTCAGTTGCGCTCTTCTTTTGGGTCCTGGAATCCTCCAAGACCCTCTTGAAAGCTGGCGCACACTACCTTAGAGCCTCTCTGAGCCAAGCCCTTTGACCCATGCTTTCAGCTTGCCTTGAACGGGCTGAGAACCCAAATGTGACACCCAACCGACCAATCCAACCCCTAGTAAAATCAGTATGTCCAGTTGGTCCAGTAGTGTTTCCCTTTAGAACCAATGGCGGGAATGAGAAAGCGGTCGCCGGGGAACCTGAGTAGATCTTCAGCTGACATTCCCAACAGCCCCGGAACCGCCTGGAATCCAACAGACAAGGCAGATTTCGGTTGATCAGCTGGAGGCTAGAGTCGTTTGTGTTGCGAATCATGTCAATTGAACCTTATCCGACACACTCCCCTGTCGGCCTCCTCATGAGCCGCTTGCTCGAAACCGATTCGGGTAGATGAAGGTTCAGGGACAATCCCCTGGCCACAAATCGCTGCGGATTTCCGCCTTCTCAATTCCTGAAGCATGGTTCTGGGATTACGACCATTTTAATTCCGGGTTTTGGTGATCACTCTCATGAGCAAACGGATGTGCTGATGGCTCCGAGAAAAAAAAAAAAAAAACGGCGCTTCTCCCCTTGCACCGATTCGGCAGGTGGCGCTGCTCTGCGACGAAGACACGGTGTCGGCCACCCAGAAGCAGCGCATCTGCTCGGTGATCACCCACGAGCTGGCGCACCAGTGGTTCGGGAACCTGGTGACCATGGCGCCTCGACGGGGGGAAAAAAAGAAGAAGACAAAACGCGGAGGTACCATGGTACCTGGTTTGCATGGCCAAAAAACAAACGTGAGTCACAATCAAAACCGATTCGGGTAAATCAAGGTTAGTCAGGGACGATCCCAACCATAAAAATGCCGCGGATTTCCGCCTCCCTTATCCTTTACGTGGTTCTGGGTTCACCTTTTCTGTACCGGGTGATCATGACTCACGTGGTTCTCCTGGTTTAGGGATGGTCGCAATTCCGCTCGACCTTTTTGGCTTGGGTTTCGTCGTTTTTTTCGTTTTTGAGGGGTGCTTCGAAGGCTTTCAGGGATTTTTGGGCTTGGAGTGGCTGATGGCTTCCCTCGACTTGGCGGTTTCCATTTGCCGAAGATGGGAAAATACGTCGGTTCTGGTTTTTCTCTTGGTTTTAAAGGGAATCACTGCACATATGTTTCTTGGTTCCGGGGCTTTTGCGCGCAAGAACCAGGGCTTCAAACCTAAGTTGCCGGCAGGGCATGCGCCAAATCAATGCCCTTCCGCCATGGAAGCGGAGGCCTCACCTCCAGAAAAGCCGAGCGGCTGGGCGTTTGATCCGGTGGTTTCTCTTTTCTGCGAACTGGGCATAGTCCATAGGTGGGATATGTCTCAGATCCAGGCGGAGTTCTTGGCAAACGAGGCGACGTCTTCCTCATGGGGATACTCTGAGAGGTTCTCATGTGACTCAACCACCAGTCAGAGGGGCGTCCCATGTTTTTGAAACTAGACGCACCATGTTTCAAGTCCCATTTGTTTTGCAGACTTTTGGGGTCTAAAACTGCTGTCAAATAATTGATGATTACCAACATAAGCATTTAGATATCATTTTCCATTTCCGCCATGTGATATCATTGGCACCATGCAATGGCCCATGAATCATGCGTGTGAATCCACGGCGTTTCCATTGAACTGCGCTCCCTCAGACAAACAGCCGGAAGCTCCCCCCATTGGCCTAGGTAAATGGGTCGCTTAGTCTTCCATTTCGGGGTCCGTTTGGGAGCTTCCGGCTGGAATCGTCTGGGAGAGGGTTCGGGCCTTCGATGCCGATCGCACAGACGTTCGCCTCGCCCGTTCGAAGGAGTGGTGGGAGGACTTGTGGCTGAACGAGGGTTTCGCCAACTGGACCCAGACCTTTGCGGCGGACCACCTCTACCCGGAGTGGAAGCTTTGCGCTCATTTTTTTTGTTTGGAAGGTACTTGTGCGGCCGGGGACCCGCATTTTTTGGGTTGGAAGGAAGGTAAACCTGACTGAAAGCTAAGGGGTTGCAAATATGCCTTTTTTGTTTGTTTTTTTGAAGGTAAACCGATTTGGGTGAATGAAGCTTAGAAAGGTGTAATTTATCCCGAAGTGGGTGCAGGAAGCTGCCTTTCAATCCTTGACGCACGGTTCTGGGACTACAACCATTTTAATGCCGATCGGTTTTGATTATGACTCTTTGGGTTGCTTTAAAGGGCAGCCGGGCGCACAGCTGAAATGGTTTCTTGGGTCCCTTTTTGGGTTCCCGATTTGCTTGTATTTGTTTGCATTGGCAGCCTTTGGTTGTAAAGGGAGACCTTAAAAAGAAGCTAACCACCAGGGTCCCAAGTTTTGAAACCTACCGAGTTCGGTCTACAGGGCTGGGGTAAGGCATCGGTTGGAACTGAACTTGTGGCTTTCACATGGTTGTTGTTGGAAAACATTTTACATTTTTGCTGATTGTGGTTCAGCGGGAAATCCCCACTTAACTGCTAAATTTTATTTGTTTGCTCCCCTTCCAACGTCAACCAAGTTCACTTGAGCTGTTGGACACACTGTTTGCTGAGTTTGTCTCTTGGAGGGGTACATGAGATTTCTCCGGCTCCTTGTTTCCTGCTAGCTTGACGGTAGGCTGCGTCTACTTTCATCTTTCAGAGGTTTGACTTGCGTTTGGTCGGCCCAACAGATGGTCGCCAGCGGAGTTTGCTGAAGCAGACCTAAAGAAGACAGCGGTGTCCTATTGGTTTCCTTCAAAGGCCAAAGTCCCCAAAAGGCGCCCTGAAATCTGGCTGTTAGTGGCACAGTTTCATCTCCAAACAAAACGGACAGGGAATGGATGTATTTGCCAACTTCCTAGACCCCTTGGTGCACGAGAAATGGATTTGCCGCTTGGATCCGATCCGTCCTTGCGGCCTTTCAAAGATCACTTCCTTGCGGCTGATTCCAGGTAATGATTCGACTTTTTGCTTTCAAGGGGCCTTGCCTCAAACAATGGTTTCAAGCATCGCATGTTTTGGCCTCTTCCGCCATGGTTTCAAACATAGCTCTGAGGTCCTGGACTGGCCCATCTTAGTGGTAAACAGCAAGCTTGGACTTTGTTGGCCAATCCTTCCTCAGGGAACTGAGGAAGTCTAGGGCATGGGGCAGGTTTCAAACTGGATAACAGTTGCCATGGACCTCCTTGAAGAGAAGCCGGGACAGGTTGACCCTTTGCTGGTTTGGGTGAGAAGTTTGGTCGCTTGGAGGGGCAATTTCTGGCTAGTTATCCTAAGGTCACTTGGCTTATGTGGCAAAGGGGGGCCCAAAAGTGGATGTCGGTTTTCCGAAAGTGGCAGGGCCCCACAAAACTACACATGCGAGTTCCCTATGCTAGGTCCCCCACCCAGTAGTGCCCCTTTACCCTTTTGTGGGGAGGGTTCCCCCCCACAAAAATAGACCACAGAAAACATATGGAGGACCTAGTATGGGTTGGACATCTTTGGGGAGCCCTGCAAGCCTCGACTGAAAAGGTGGTGGTGAATTTCAGGGTTGCAGAGCAACCTAGCAATCTGAGTGTTTTTGTATTGCACCCTGGGATTACACCCTTGGGAAATGACCCAGAATGGTTCAAAATAGCACGGTTTTATCTGGAAATGTGCCTAAATGGGGTCAATACACAGTGGGTGTATTCCCAGGGTGATACAAAAACCCTTAGAAACAATGACCAAGGCGAGAACGTGGGATCGATACGTCAAATGTCTGACGGTCGAAGTGGAATGGGAGAACTCCTGTAGGAAAGGGACAGTCACAAGTACACCAATCAGCTTTGTGGGGGATTTTGGTTTGGTTTCCTTGGTTGTTCCCAGCCATCCCCTTAGGTTTTTTTCTTTTTGGGTTTAGTGGTAGCTCCATTTAACCCACTGAAAAAGGGCAGCAGAAAGTACGCCAACCAGTTGTGTCGGGGATGTTTGTTGGATCTCTTCAAGACGCAAGCAGCAAAAAGTAGTGAACTGATGTTTCTTTGGTTTCCGTAACTTGGTTGATTCCAGCCATCCCCATATAGATTTTTAGCATCCATTTACCCCACTAATAGTTGGGAGACTTTGGTTTCCTCAACCAAACCGAAAAGCCAAATGCAAAATGGCGACGCCGGGTAACCCCCGCGGAAAACCACGTTTCCCCCGGCGGTTTCGTGGAGAATCCCTCCTCCCGCGTGCCGGAACCCCCCCGTGGAAAATCTTCCGGGTTTTCCCGGCGGTGTCGTCAAGAATCCCTCCTCCCGCCTCCCAGGCCTGCCGGAAACCCGTGGAAACTTCCCGGAAGCCCCGCCGGCTTCGTCGAGAATCCCGCCTCCCGTGCAGGAAACGTGTGCAAACCCCAGAAACCCAGCGGTTTCGTTTGAAAGGATTTCCTTGTCCATCCGGTTGATTGTACTTGCCTTTTCCTCCTCTGTAGTTGTAGCTCTAGTTCTTCCCGGCTCCCAAATGCGAAAACAAAAATGACGGCTCCCGGACACCCGGCAAAAACCCGTGGGCTTCCCCCAGCGGTTTCGCCGCCGCCCTCCTCCCTCCCGCCTGCCGCCCGCCCGCCTGCCGCCTGCCGCCTTCTGCCTGCCGCGTGGCTTAGGAAGATCTGGGAGTCCTACGTGGGCATGGAGCAGCAGCGCGCGCTGCAGCTGGACGCCTTGCGCAGCAGCCACCCCATTCAGGCGGCCCAGCCTCGGAACCTTCGGCGCGCCCGAGGGGGGTGCGTTTTTTTTTTTTCTTCCAGTTATTTTATGTTTTTAAACAAAAAAAACGGAAAACAAAAAAACATACACATAATATGTTGTTTGTTGTTTTTGTTTTAGTTTGTTTTTTGGTTTTAAAACACACTACCAAGGCCGTTGTTGTGTTTTGTTGTTTTAGTATGTTTCTAAAATGACTAAGTTCACGTGGCGTTATGTGTGTTTCCCCCCCCCCCAGGTTAAAAAAAAAGAAGAAAAACAAGAAAACAGAAAAACACACAAACTTACTTTTTAAACAGTTGACATTCATCACTCCAGGGGTGAAAAAGCAAACAGAAGAAATGAGATGTTTGATTTTATGTTTGGTTCACTACATTTGGCCCAGAATCCAACATTAGGATTCTGGCTTGCGGCCAAGAAACCCTTCGTAGGGTCCACCATGTTGTTCAGTGGAACATTTTCTCACAGCTTTGGGTTCTCTATAGAAAGGCTCACCCCAAAACAGGTTCCCTACCTGGCTACCTGGGACGCGTCGGCATCAAATTATCACTCGAAACGGATCAAGTGACAAGTGAAGGATAGGCGACCATCCCCTTGCCATCGGTTCGAATACAAGCCTGATGCTTCATGTGGCTGGTCAAAACCGTTTTGGGATCCCATTTTGGGCTCGGTGAATTCAGCACCCATTTTAGGCTTCCTATTTTAGTGGTTGGATTGAGAATGTTCACTGGGGGTACGATTCGGATTTTGACCCATGGCCATGTGGGTTTGGGTAGAGCTTTTTCAATCATACTAGGGTTGATTGTGACTCGCGCTGTCAGGGCCAAATGGCGGAATCTGTCCCAAAGACAGGCCTTGAGCCTTGAGCTTTGTCTGGACTGTTGGAAAATCGTTTTGACCCTTGACTGACCTTTTAAAAAAATAATAAAACAATGTTCACCTCTGGCTTGCTTTGCTCCTCTCTGTAAAACAAGCACTAGTATTTTGTTCACCTCTGGCTGGTGTTTTTTCTCGATTGGACAGTTGTTTAGGACTTCCGAGTGGTCTGTCTTCCAACCCCGGACTTTGGCCAAGTTCACCCCAGCTGCGGCTGGGCTGAAGCCCCATTTTTTGACCATGCTCACCCGCGGGTGGATAACCCCATGATATTCTAGGTCCCCCAGCTAGGTGCCAACTTCTACCGTTTCTTTTTTGGTTGGGAGGGGAGGGACACCCCCTACTAAACTAGACAAGACAGGAAAGAAAAGTGGGTACCAACTTAGTCTATCCTCTCTACTGGAGGACCTAGTTGTTTTGGTTTTCCCTGTTGTGTGTGGTTTGGTTTGGTCCTTGTTGTTTGTATGGTTGGTTGGTTGCTTTGTGGTTCCCCACCCAGGTTTGGGTACCCCCAGCTAGGCCCCAGCTCGCGCCTCTCGAAACCTTCGAATCGGCAGGTGCCTATCGCCCACGCAGAAGAGGTGGAGGAGGTCTTCGACGCCATCTCCTACTGCAAAGGCCCCCTGCCTTTCCCTTGTGTGCGTCGCGTGTCCTTCTTGAGGCACCCCCAAAATGGAGTTGGGTTTCTGTTATGATTTCCCTAAACCACAGAACATGGGCGTGTTTTCGGGGTCTATGGGCTGTTTTTAGGGTCTACGGGTCGTGTGGCGTGTCTTTCTTGCACCAAAATGGGTTTCGGTGTCCCGAAATGGGTTTCCCGAAAGCACGGGAAAAGGGGTACCCTCCCACCAGCTAACATGGAAGTGCAAAAAGACCCTGCAGAAAGACGACTTTCCTCTTCGAAAGTGCGTTTTTGCACTTCCACGTTAGTTGGTGGGAGGGTACCCCCAAAAAGGCAGACTGCAGGATTTCCCTTTTTTTTCTGGTTCTAAACGTCACCTTTTGGGGCCAATGTGAATCGAGTTTCCTTTTGCGGTCATGCGACAGGGGGACTTCTGGGGACGTGCTGTGTTTTCCACTTCGCTCACTCCACTTGGGTGTGTCTATTTTGGGGATCCAACAAATTGCGCGTTTCCCTTTGGGTTTTCCGTTCGACTCACCCAAAAAGGGAGGGGGGCGCTCCAAAAACATGACACACCCTTTTTATGTGGAGTTGTGTTTTGTTTACTGCTATTCTGACGTTCCCAGGACTGATAAAAAGGGTTTGTAGCCAGGAAGGCCTGGCGGGCACAGGCATTTCATTTGCCCATATTCACTCGAGTTACGTCATACTTCTGGGATGACCATTTTACTTGGTGATCTTGGTGGTTCCAAGCCATCCGGTTCCTTAGCTAATTAGCTTCGCAGGTGTTTCGGGTTTAGTGGGGATTTTCGTGTAACTCACTAAAAGTTAAGCTTTTGGACGGCTGGTTCCTTTCAGCCTTCCACTTCGAGGCTGACTCTGGAAATCGCAAGATGGGTATGGGTCAAAATGAAATCGCCAGAAAACCCCAGGTTGAGTCCATGTTTCCATTTACAAGGATTCCGTTTTGAGCACCTATTTTGGACCCACAGCTAGATCATGGGGCTAGTGCCAGTGCCCGTCGGATGTCCCCTGTTCGTGTTAGCTCAATCGGATTACCGCATGTAAATCCCAAAGTGTATGTTCGGTGGCCACCAAACGATTCCCACCAAAACATCGCACGTGAAACATTTGGTTTCAGACCCCCTCGGTGATTTAGGGCAGTCAAACCTTCAAAGGGCACAAAGTCAGCCCATGTTGGGCTTCTTTGGCAGTTGTTTTTGGTTTTCCCGCCTGTAATGAAAGCGTTTCCACCCCGCTTTTCCAAGTTTCAAAGGGTTGGGTTACAGGGAAAACCACAGGAAGTGGCCCCACACACACCCTAGATCAAGCTGTTGTCCAGCAGATGTTCCTGTAACCCAACCCTTTTCCCCTATGTCACGCGATTTGGTTCGGGTTTCGTTCCGGTTTTGGGGGCGATTCCGAGTCACCCGGGTTTCGCGTTCTTTTTTTTTGGCTCGCCAGGTGGCTCGGTGGTGCGGATGATCTTCAGCGTGCTGGGCGAGAAGGACGGGCGCCGCCGAAAGCGTTTTTCTTTTCGTGGCGACCTTGGAGGCGACTGGCGAGGTCCCCCAGTTATGTTTACCCCGGATGAATAAACCCCGAATTAGTTGATTAATAGGGGGGTGTCCCCTTTTAGTGGGGATTCATCACTTTTGGAGGGAACACCCCCCGAATAATGGGACGGGTTTATTAATCCTGGGTCAACATTAGTGGTCCCCCAGCAATTGGTGCCAACTTGTACCGTTTCTTTCTTCGGAAAAAGGGTTCCCCTGCTAAAATAGACTACAGCAAAAAGCTCGGGCAGTCAGGCTACCAAACCGGAAAGGTGGACAAGCGGCCCGGTGCCACCTTTTGCCTGAATTCCGTTTCGGACTGAAATGTCACTTTTGGGGGTTGGTTGACAGTTTAGTGGTAAGCAACAAGTTTGGTTACATGCTTTCTGGCCAAGCGACTCAGGAAGTGAGTTTTCCTGTATTCTTCGGTTGGGATGTTCAAGGTTTGGGAAGGTTTCCCTTTGAAGTCAAGACAAGCAGCAGATGTATAGCTTTACCCAGGGCCACTGGGCTGGGATAGAAAGGGTGGACCTCAGACTATCCTCAAAAGAAAGTAAATTCAAGGCCGCTCCGCATTTTTTAGGGTAGCTTAAGGGTCCAGAAGATGGATCGGGCTTTGTGTTCGGCCAACTGAATTGAGACTACGACCGCAATCAACCTTTTGGCGATGGTAGTTGGTAGTGTCAAGGATATGGAGCATTTGTGCAGCGTTTCCTTGTTTCCTTCTGGGCCAACTGCCAACTTTCTCAACTTTTGAAGAACACTGCACGAAAGGCAAAACACCACTTGAGCTCGTGTTTCGTTCTTGGCTCAGTCAGACTAGCCCTCTTTAGGTCCAAC